GGCAAATAGGCATTGTTAAGGTGTGGTTTTAGTTGTACTAAACTAAAACACTTGGTTATGGACAGATTGAGTTTGTTGTTAGCTGGAGCAAACGCTGACATTTCTAAAGTGTGGATGTCAAATGTTTTGTACTCTCATCTACCACTCACACCTGTAGTCTTCCTTTTTTTTAACACCATAGAACAATGTCGCACGACTTTCGAACTAAGCCACTGCTGTTTCTGGACAGAGAGGATTGTATCATGGCCGTCAGATGAAACACTCGCACGGTATTTCCTCAGTCTGATGTTTTGGAGCTGTGAAAATGTATTTCTCTCCACCATACATGAATCAGTCTGAAGTTTCAATAACTCAAAATACTTCAATGCGCTGAGGAAAGCAACATTTGCATCAGAGGACAAAGGCTTAAGTTTATTCATTGTGTTTGTTGTGCCTACACCCACCCAGTTTTATTTTCTCATTTTCATCCTTTTAATTTGTGCAACTCGTTTCATCATTCAACCTCCAGGAAGGTTCTCCCAAGTCGCGTCAGGAGATTACACAACTTGACAATTGACAGATGTGCGGTATTATATTAAGATTCATCATCCAAAAAAACACAAAAACATTGAGTCACAGGGGTTTTTGGTGCAGCATTAGTGACGTGCAGGTTTCAGCCTGATGATCTGTTGTTGCTGAGCGCTGCGGTGCTGCAGGCTGAGTTTGTTCTCCACTCACTCATATGTTACAAGTTGATCTGAGCTGAGCTGAGGCCTGGAAACGTTTACAGCCTCAGTGTCCTCTGATCATCATTAATGTATATTTTGAGTGGCATGTTTGTTTTACTAGTGAAGAGTTCCTCGGCTCAGTTAACACACACACACACACACACACACACACACACACACACATTCACTCACACAACCTCACGCTTGCATTCATTTTTCTTTTTTTTGTCACTTATTATTTGCAACATTTGAAATATATTTTACATAAGAAAACAAACATCAATAAGTATGGGGACCAAGTGATGTATGCATTTCTTGGTCTGCTGACTTTATGTCCATATTATCCTTGGATTTATCCAGATCTAGACTAGATAGCGTCCTCGTTGTTTGCAATGCAGGTGATCCTTTTCCTTCATTTTCTGGGAAAGGTCTCAGCCTTATTCCTCAGGGAAATGTCAGTTTTTCTCTAACATAGTTATCTGTTATAACTGCATGTCCATCCGTTGGACATACAGTATTCAGTTATTGCTTTTTTTTTTTTTTACATTTTACAAAGAAAACTAAGTCTTTATTAATTTTTTTACTAAAGGTAATTCGATATACAGTATCACTCTGATAATCCAGCACATTTTGTAGAAATACTGCACTACCCATGCAGAAATGTAATATATGACATATATGTCCTTATATCAAGAGTGATGTTGCCATATGTCACCTATTAGGGGATTATTATTATCACATACAGACAGATGAACATATAAGTTTTTAAAATATATGAAATACCCATAGTAAAATGTGTATATGTGCATATACTAAAATTATCTGATGGATTTTTATATCGTATAACATGTTGCAAGCATATACTGACAGGCTTTGGCATGGATATTTATTTACATAACATATCTACAATAGAAGCATACATACACATTTGTATACAAACTTGGTTTCAATTTCAACTTGGTGTCATATATTATTTTAACATATATGTTTTTATTTTATATGGACATATATATATATATACATATATTACATTTGCATATGGGTAAATCCTCCAACAGAACAAATGTCAACACAACCCTGCCCATTTATAATGAACACTGCAGGCCACATGTTCTTCGTAACAACATCCTGTATCCTCAAACAGCTAATACTTTTCTGCCTTTTTGACATAGTGATGAATTTAACAACACGCTCCTCACCTCCACATACATTAAACATACATGCCGTGACATCACAGTGTTGCGACCTCTGCTCGGCTCCGCGACCCTCACACGTGTAAAAGACAAAACAAAGAGGAGCTCGCTGCTCTGTCGCTCCACTCCGCGGTGAAGTTGTTATGCAAACTGGATGTTGGACGGAGGCGCCTGCACTCTTCACCAGTGTTGTATTCTTGGACTCGGTGCTGTGAGATGTGTTCAGGCTGATCCTGGAGGGGCCATTCAGCTTGTTATTGTTGAAACACTGTCAGCTGAATGAACACGTAGGACTCTGAGAGCCAGGAGATTAATAATGTGAAGCTCTGCTAAAACAAACTATTAACTTCAGGACCACCAGGGTGAACTGTCTCTTCTGAAGCTGAGGCATGCAGGCAGATGCATGCGTGCACACATTTCTGTGTTCCAATGCTTGTGAGGACCCTCCGGATGAGTTTTCAAAAGCAGACAATTTAAAGTGTTGATGGCTCTTAATAAGTGGCAATAAAAGGCAAATGAAATATCCAGACATTATGTAAGGTGACATAAGTAAACTTCATTTTGAGTGAATGTGTTGAAAGAGGCTCAACTATTACTGAGTGAGTCCAGCTGTCTCTCAGCGAAGGGCTCACTCGCTGCTGTTGAAGAAAAACCTCTGGTATTCAACTCCCAAGTTTTCATGCCTTGGATTCTGTGACCACGGATGATTTTGTGCACGGCCAATATCACGATGGAAGAAAGCAGTGTGGACAAATGAGGAGAACTGTGCCAGTTGTCTCAGTTGGTGGATAGTAGAAGTACATGTCTTCACGGGCCTCAAAATTTCTTACTCCTACTCACGAAAACTACTGGATGCATCGCCATGTTGTGTCTATTGTTGTACAGGAATTTGTCCCCAGTGGCTGAATCCTACTGACTGTGGAGAACCGCTGACTTTTTCATGTAGCCAAGAGCAGGTGAGAGTTTTCAGTGGTGTTTCTAAAGGATGAGCTGTCTGGCTGTTTCTGGCCGTAGGCTGTTGTTTTTTTGTTGTATAGACGTGTTTTTCTCTAGAAACCGTGGTATCTTTCTGTTATAGCTGTGCCCATACACAACACACACGTATAAGTGTTCCAGTAGCAAAATTTACGGGGTGTTGGCCAACTCTGGGGAAAAACAGATGAGACAGAATAGTTGCTTCCTGGTCAGATTACAACAAATTTGAGTAAACACTTACACGATGAAGCCACATTCAACTAAATAATTTGTTGTGTTTTGATTGACTGACTGGCGATGCAGCGTATTTTTTGAAGGAATGCATCCTAGTTTCATCCAAGTTTGACATGAGCTGGAACTGGAGTGGATGAGAAAGTGTGAACCAAGCATTAACTCAGCTCAAAGGAAACCATTGGATTTTTGAGGGGGTGTTTCTGCCAATGAAGAGGCTGCAACTATTTTGCTTTTATTCTGTTTTTCTGATTTCTGTTCAACCAATCAGTTAACCCAGGGAAGTTTTTTAGCTCTTAATCCTCATTGTATAACTCAAAACCTGCAAGTCTCAGTGGACAGTGTTCAGCCTGTACTCCTGTCCTCCACACCGACGCACACACACACACACACACACGGTGGGTTAGTGGAGCCACAGCCTCCCCTCTCGATGTGACCTTCCTCACAGTCTCATGACCTGCTGTTACCAGTTAAGTGGATGCATTTGCGAAGCGGCTCGAGGCAGCAGCAGGCAGATCTGTATCTCAAAGTCGGGTCTGCAGCTTCTCACCGTCAGAAACCTGCAAACGAAAGAACTTTAGAGCTCTGAAGTATCGGGGCCGCTGGACATGTGCTGGACAATAACAAGCCCTGAATTTCTAAGCAGTCCCACAAGCTGTGTTGTTAAACATGTGGCTCCCATTGTGGCCAGACCTCTCTCTCTCTCTCTCTCTCTCTCTCTCTCTCTCTCTCTCTCTCTCTCTTTCACTCACTATTTGGCTTTTGTTCACTCACCCTTTCCAAGTACAACAAACTTTTGGATTGAATCCTGAGCCCAGTTGTAAGGCCCAGTTTGGCCTTCATTCTGTGTGTCTATGTGTGTGTGTGTCTATGTGTCTATGTGTCTATGTCTGTGTGTGTCTATGTGTGTGTGTGTGTGTGTTTGTATATATGTATCTTGACGTTGAATTAAAATCATTATCTGCAGGAACTAGAGGCTCACATGTTGCTCCGCGAAACAAACGTCGGTCCCATGTGTTTCCCTCTTCAGTTGAAAATCGACAAGATTCTTGCCTGCCATAACACTGGCAACACCTCTGATGATAAACGCTCCACCTTGTTGTAATAACAGAGACACTCAGTGCAGAACGCGGCCTCTCATATCTCTATCCTTATTGATTCCAAACAAAACAGCTTTCCCAAAATATAAAACTCACCGTTTCCGCTCCAAGAGAAGAGTTTTCTTGAGAATGAAAGCTCGTCTCATTCGTGTTTACAACAGACCTGTGTTCTGCCGCCCACATCTTCAATGTGTTCAGCAATTATATGAACAGAAATAGAAGTTTAATGTGAATTCATATGAATGGATGGCATTTCAGTCTGGTTATGTTTTCATGGACATGTTGTAAAATTGCTGTTTTAGTTTAAGACACTGATTTAAAGTAAACAAATTGTATAACATAATAAAAACAGCTTTTGTACAAATGCTACTTAGAAGTGAAAACCTGTACAACTGTACAACTCTGCAACCTTTTACCTCTGGAGGGATCACCAGTAAATCCTTGCTGACTTTCCAGTTTGTAAGAATTACATGGTGCGATAAGTGAAGCTGGAGTGTAAAGCTGTGTCTCGAGGTGAACATCAGTCCTGAGGGTTTGAAAACATCTTGGCTACATCACAAAACTTCATCTACTGTTACTGTTACTGAGCTTTTCCTCGATGTTTTCCTTATTATTAACATGCTCCACAAAGCTGCCCGTTTGCCTGTTTGTTGCTACATCTCTACATATGGTTCCACATAAATACAGGAGAGTGTTGGTAGTAAAGGATTTATACTGTCAGCAGCAACATTTGCATCATAAGCCGTATGCATTATGTCGTCAACTCTGATCATATTGTTCCCTTCTTTCTGCAGGGCCTCCGGGACCGAAGGGAGAGAAGGGTGACACCGGACCGCTTGGGTCCCCTGGGGCTCCCGGGTTGACTGGCTTGAGAGGTGGGTGCAACCAGAGTATCATTCATTCATATTTACCTTGCATAAAAAGTTCAAGATAATCACAGTGGTCCAAACCATTCTTATGTAGTAGAATTCATGTTCAGACATCCCCTGTAACCCTGACAGTTTCCATGAGAAATAATAAAGCAAGGTGCATCAAATCATCATATAATCTCTGGAAGAACCTCAGACTATTGTAGACTCAACTGTAAATGACTCAATTCCATAGTATCTGTTTCATTATTTTATATTTTCTGCAACATTTATCCTACTGTTTTGACCAGGTCTCAAAAAAAAGAAAAGAAAAAAAGAAATAAACAGAATACAACATAAACTGTATTATCCTTTTACAGCTTTTGATTTTGTGAAATGGCAAAACCATGACAGTCTCAGATTGTCAGAGGTGTGGGGTGATGATATTTTAGGATGTGGAAAGAGACAAGCAAACCTAACATCAGTAAAGGTTGAAAACCTCCGACCTCATGTGTTAACACAGTGTTTACCATATGTAGTGTGGAATTTATTGGGGTGGTTCACCCGAATAAATGTGTCGCCAGCCAGATGCATTTGAAAACTGCAGCTTGGCTGTCTGCATAGTTTGGAAAAAGGACTTCCTTGTTCAGAATTGTGTTGCTCTGCATTGAATTCTGCAAACAAATCGTGGAAACGCTGTGGAATTACAGCTTTGGAAGTGTCCTACGTCAATCTTTGTAACTTGTGTAAGAAAGTAACGATCAGTGAAACTATCTGTGATTTAATGAAAGTGAAGTGATGAAATGCACAAGTAGAGCGTCAAGAAATGTCTGATTTTCTGATGTAGTTTTTGGCTTGACATAGTTTTTGGATGAGTTTTACAATCCCACAGTTCATAAAATTTACCTGCCCCATAAATGTCTGATGTAAACATCACATTTTGAGTTACAAGCTTACACAACAGGATTTAGGTTGAAGTGGCTTAAAAGTTGAGAATCTATCTACCTTTTATACAAAGTGTAGCTCTGCTTTTGTGATTACATTCAGTTGCATTAATAATACAGTGAGCAGAGAGAATAAAAGGGCATATAAATCCACTTAAGAAAACAAAGCCCTAGACTTTGGATGGTGATTTATTTTCAGACAGGGTGTGGACAGGGCCAGTGGGACGTGTCATCTGTCTTTGTCTCGCAGGTAATTCCCCCAAAACCACAAGGCAGAACTACTGGCACATCATTACCATTAAAAGACTATTTCTCATAGATACTGTAAAATGAAAACAACAACAATGTGACTCCAGATGTTTTGGGACCCCCTCCAGCTTGGTACCTCTTGATTCATCACCCTCTTTCCTCCCCTGTCATCATCCATCCCACATCCCCTGGCCGATGAACTGCAACTCTCACATGACATTTCCAAGAAGCATTATCTTCCTTCTGAAATGGAGGAAACCCCCTCCCCGTGGCTCCCCACCCATAGTTCCAGGAATAAGTGAATAAAAAGATTTTTTAACTGCAGGGGGGAAAAAGAAAAAGCCCTTAATATTAGTTAACCTGAAAACATTGCAAACCAAGCCCCCATCCCCTCTAGGACCAAAACGTAGACAAAACAAAACTACCCCCAACAGCAAGTTGCTGTCTTAAGTACCAGCAGTCATCTCTGAGGAAAGACGTTGCAGTACTCTCGTTGGTGATGGCCAGTTTCTGTTTGGTGCAACAGTTAATAGGCTACAAACAATGCATTTTGTATTAGATGTGACCATTCCAGCGCAAAACATCTTCTAAAACAGCATGTAAGCCATGGCACACTAAATCTTTCTATATAATTCAATATAAGATATACAGGCCAACTGATATTAGATTTTTGGGGCTGATACCAATATTATGGCGTAAAAGAATTCCAATATCGATATATGTTTATATATATATTTAACTTGAATGAAAACAAAGGATCAAATATACAGAAAATGCTGCCTCTATAACTTGACTTGACTTGAGAATTTCCACTGTATTATTGCTTCTTAATAAAAGTATGTATCATACACTGATATATCTGTGATAAGACAATATCAGCCAATAAAATCAGCCGACTGATAAATCGGTCCGACTCTAATAAGATAAATAAGATGTTCTTAGATAAATAATAAACCTATTATAGTATATAAAAACACATATTATTGCATGTTCAATTGCAGTCCAGGCAAATAGAACCATTAGAATTCAGAATTAGACTTCAGCCCAACGTGCATAAAAGACTTGATCTGAAATGAAACAGAGATCGGTCAGAACAGGTTTGTGATCGACTCAAAAATAATTGGAGCCAGTTCAGAATACCAACCTGAAAACACTGAAATAAAGATCAGCAGCATGATGCGTCACAGAGTAACTGGCAGCTGCAGTCAAACAGACTCTTTGTCAGCCATCTTGGCTTCAGTCTTAAGTCTTGTTTATGTACAAGGCAAATATGGCTTCATATGTTGGTCTGAGCCGAGACAATGTGTTTACAATAGTTTCACTCCTGAGCTTCCCCTCATAGACGAGCGGTAGTTAATAGAAAAAAGGTGAAGAATCAATGTCAGTTGCCCTAAAAAACTCTTTTCATTGTCTTTTGATTGTGAACATATTATATACAAGTGCTTATAAAAGAACTAAGAGAGGAAATGTACATTTTTGTCATGTGATGATTGTTTTGAATGTTTTGTTACATTTATACTCTTTATACTTTTTAAGGAATATCTTCAGTCACACTGGAGCTAGAGATTTTTTTTTATTGTAAACAAATAGCCAACGTGATGTAGAGGTTGCACTGCTTTGTGGGTAAACCTGTATAATTAATGACATTAACAGAAACTGAGTGATTTTTCAGATTGTTTTGTCGCCCGTTCTGTTAGCCACGATACAATCTGTTTGTAATTCAGCACATGTACTCCTGTTACTCCATTTACGATGACGCCTGAGGAATCTGTCGTCACATCCAGCTTCTTAAAAATCCTTTTGGACTCGATCTAGTTGGACGTGAACGATCTAGTTGGACTGTCCTGCAGAACAAAGGACACTTCTGCACCGGCTCCAAAGTATGATTGATAGCGTTTTTCCCAACATGTTTTTGAGAAGGTAATCATTGACCCTCTGCAGCAGAGAAACAGGAAACCACAGACAACATGACACCAGCCATCATCAGTTTATTTTGTGTTTCTGGCTCTAATGCATTCAGTCTCATTATTTCATCCAGATTGTTGAGTCGTCACAACAGTGTAATCAGAGCATATCCGAGTACGATGACAAGACTTCAACGGTGGGATCAGCAACTCATTACCACATTAATTTTGAGACATTTGAGCGTGCTTACTGTAAACAAATGCTCTCATTGTGCATCGCGGGTGGTAGAAATCTGATGGATTCTTTCTATGGAAGAAAAGATAGGGATTTTCCTCCGAGCGTCGGGAAGCTGTCACAGAGTGAGGCATTGGCAGATGGTGGAAGAAGTGAAAGACCAACGTTAACGTTATTTCCAACATCTTTGTATCTTCTTTAGATTATGTCATGCAAATTGCTGTTGCTAAGAAGTTTCCAAAGTCCATGACTAAGTCCTTGTTACACTGCTGTCAACAGCAACCTCTGTAATTCATGGTTTGGAATTTGATTGGACTCTTTCTTCATCAAATGACAATTAGAAAGTTTAGAAATGTCTTTTTTTTTTTTTTTAATGGAACCAAGCACGACCAACTCCAGCAGTGATGTATTTAGTGGAGTTACACTAAAATTGCCAGGAAAAAATAACTAGCTTCGATAGTTCAGGCACTTTTAACGCTGTCATTGCTCATGTTGAGCAATCTGATGACCGATATTGCTGCATGTTATGACCAGACCAGTTTTCCTGTTTTTTCATTTACCGAACTCAAGTTTGTCCTGTATGTGTTTGTGTGTTTCAGGGTTTACAGGAGAAAAAGGAATGCAGGGCCCTCGTGGTATCAAAGGGTCGGTTGGTGTCGAAGGTATTCAGGGAGAAAAAGGAGACATTGGACCTGTCGGGCCTAAAGGTGCGGTTGTATATCTCATATTAATCAGTGCATGCTTTTTATAATCCCATTTGTAGCGTATCTAAAGTCGATTTCTGCTGATTTCATCACTGTTTAAAGTTGTGCTGATCTCTTGATACCAAATAAGAACGTACAACACCGATTATGTAATAATCTGAGGATAATTCAAGAATCACAATATACAAAATATGTAGGAGGTTGTGTTTTATGGGGCAGCAGTAGTCGCATTAAAGCGAGGCATTCACCCAGCAGCCCATTATTCACAAGTTAAGAAAAAGCGTGTGACTCCCTGCAGTCTCGCACAGCTCACAGTTGAACCTTGTCAACACATTCACAGCTCAAATCATTTCAGACTCGCGACCAGACGGACTCAGATCTCAAACGGCTGCAGGAGATGTCGCCCGAGTAAAAGGTTCTTTACTGGGAATTCTTCAGCAGAACCAAATCTTTCACACTTCTTACATCACTAACAGGTGGCACTGTTTTCTTTTCATGTTTAGTCATGGAAGCTAAACTCGCATAACGATCCATATCTTCTCCACATAAAAAACAGCTGCCTGTGCTGATCGAATCCGTTTTCAGCTGTCGTAAATGAGCCAGTGCCACAAGATATTTTAGGCGTTCATGGAGCATCATAACCACTTCAAAACAAAAAAAAAGTAATATCACAATTAGATCTATTGGGCTCATCAAACATTACAAATTCTCCGGGAGCTGTATTATTTGTGCCACTCATATGTGTGGGCAGTGGGAGAGGGATTCTAACGTGCAATCCAATATGAGCTCGAAAACATGGAAACCTAAACAACTCCCAATGAGCAACTTTAATTGAAATTGGACACCATCTTAGAACATAACATCCAGTTCCCCTTAATACACCTTGATTTTAACTTGATATAAGGATCCTTAAGAATAGCTGAGTGTACCGAGAGCGGCGTACCTACCTTTGTCGCGTCGTATAATAACGATAAGAGAGAGGATCCACCCTCCAACCAAACTTGTTACTCAAGATGTTTGCCGAGCACATCTTAGTTACGCCTTAATCGTCTTGGTAAAGCATGACTCTAACAACTCTATGCTAACGGCACAGCAACAGTTCTTGAAAAGCCATTTTCCAACGACATCTTCTGGTGTCATTCATCCTTTCTTCCAAACTGTGCCTTGTTTTAAATATCATAAATATGTCACAAGTCCATAGCCACACATTTATTTTGGGGATCAAAATAGGAGAAAATATAATGCAGCTGTTGGCTGTCGCATTGGTTGGAGAAATTTGCCTCAAATAGCTATATCCACCAAATACCATATCTTACTTTTCTGGTTTGTAAAGGGCTTCCAGGAGTCAGAGAGCTTGTGTAGATTGAAGCCAACAGAAAAATTAGGAATTCAAAACAAATACTTCTTTTAAGTAATTATACAAACTGTCAGTGATCCTACCCTGTCTCTCACAGACAGCTCTCATGTTTCCACCTTGGACAGTGAAGGCAAAGTGGTTCTCACACAAACTCAGAAACAGCCTCCCTAATTTGGACTAAACTTGACATTTTATAAATTTTGTACCGTTTTCTGCGAAAAGTAGTGAAACTGAATGCGAATGTTAAAGATATAATAACTGCTTTTTGTCCACAGAAAACTAGAGGAGTGGAGCTCCACTGTTGGTGGTTGTCGCAAGTGGTTCAAGCTACGGAGGCCAGACGAGCTGCAGCGCCGACTGTCAGTAACCTGAAGAAGGGCACGAATATGGAGTGATTGTGTATTGCTAATGTTTATCTGGCAGGCAAGGGAGGGTCTGGATGGACAGGACTGAATGGTTCCACAGACAACAGTTAACTAGCTCCATCTGTTTGTAAAAATGTTTCTCCTTGGAAACTCTGATGTTATTGTCTTTCATTGCTCTTTGTTCAATGTTGTTTTCTCTGTTTGACTCTGTGCAATTGCCTCCTCCTTTCTGTTTTGTGTAATTACTTTGCTCGCAGTTCTTACTTTCTTGGCTGGTGGGCAAGCACACCAAAAACTTACTGCCTCTCATATGACTTTATCAAATCAAAATTTAAAGCATAGTTCTGTAAATTTGGGAAACATGCTTATTGGTTCTCACTTCATAATTATCTGGTTATATATAAGGCTTTAGCAGCCAAGTTTAGCTATGCAAAGACCGGAACAGGGCGAACAGCTAGCTAGCTCTGTCAACAGTAACAAATCTGCTTACCAGCTCCTCTAAAGCTCACTAATTAGCACCATGTAAATCCCATAAAAAAAGTTCAACTGGGTCCTGATTCTGGGGTGATGAAACTGTAAATAAAGGACGGATTCACTTCTTCAGCTCCAGCATGTGGTGTTTGCTTATGTGTGTGTATGAAAATCAGAAATGAGGAAAATAAATTACACTACACGAGGGGAGCTTGGGTGGCTTTGTTCTGGCAACAGATATTGGATTCAGGAAATGAACTTGAACATAAAAAAAAACTGAGAAAAGTAACGGGGTATGTCATAAAAGTGACCAAGCCGAAGCAGCTATTAAAATACGCGTTGTTACACTGATCTTTGATTCTGTTCCTCAGTATAGATGTTATGGGAGGCAACCCGGAAGTAAAGCTTAAAAGCCTTCGCTTCGGTGTCGTGCCATAAATAAATAGTTAACACGGTACTTATCAATGAGCATCTGAGTCCCTAGGGTGAAATAAATTTCGTCATTATGAGTCCAAAGCTGAAAATCATTTATTACTGGATCTCCGAAGCTGGCGAGTGCAGCGTAAAAACAGGCTTGTTCAGGACATTAAACCACTACACTTACATGTTGGACAGACATCGTTGAGCTGACTATTCAAACAGTCCTGTGTGTGTGTGTTGCGTGCGCTTCAGGATCTTTCAGTCTCTTCTTACAATAATGTCAACTGCTCAAGTGAAAATTACACAAAAAATTTGCATATGGCTGAAAAATTTAACAGCAAATTAGGTGTTTTTGGTTACAAAGTTTCATTTTGCCATGAGAAAACGACTTTACGAGGAAATTATATAATAGGTCAAATTGTTGGAGTTAAGCTCAGGCTAATGTTCGATCCAGAATTCTATCCTAAAATGAAACTAAGTGTACGATTACCTGTTTAATTAAGATCTACATCTGCTGCACTTCAGGGAAATCATGGAAAATTTCACAGGTCTGTTTATCTGCTCTAATTGTTAGCATGTCAGCTAACTGGGCTTATAATACTTCCAAGTCAATGACAATGTCCATTAATTAGGATGTTTTTAGTAATGAGAGGCGTTACGAGATTAGGTAGAGAAAAGAATCATTAAAACACACTCAGCTGGAGAGACGGCAGAACCAAACGTTTAGCTACGTGTAATGCTAGCGATACAGGCTGAGTGATATCTGCTTAGTCATTGGAGTCGTCACATCAATGTTTGCCAGACTGGGTGGTTTTCTGTTAGTTCGGATATTTTTGGAACATAAGAACACAAACTACTAACTAGTGTATTTGTGCAAACTTTAGACTTGCCTGTTCTGAAATAAATTGTTTCTACTTTTATGACAATTTAGAGCGGTTTCTGGCTAATATTTTTCTCGTAAACTCGGTGAACATGGTTGTCATTTCTAACACTGGAAAACTGACAGTCACCAGCTAGATAAGCAGATGTATGACTTTTGTGTCATGTGTTTGATCAGCGCTGCGTCTGAGATGCAAAGGTCTAAGCTGGTTTGCTTCAAAATTTACTATTCTTATCTTGTAACGCTGCATCTGTGCCAGAATGGAAAGCTTGATCAGGCTTAGCAACAATACTATGAGCAAATGAGAAGTTTATAGTGTCCTGTTCTATAAGGAAACTACAACGAACTTTGCTTTGTACTTTACAATAAATACAGAGACAGAAATAGTGATTTTGCAACACGGGCATAAGAGACAGGTGATCTACAAAAGGTACAAAACAAATGGATGAAAGTGACTTATTGTCATATTTCTGTGTAACTGTAATTGACGTGTCTTTTCTGCTATTTCCTTTTTTTTTTTGTCCCCATTTATTATTTTGTTTCCTTTCCCTCTTTTCCTTCCAAGTATGTTTCTGGTGACTTTCTGTGAGACTTGCACTGTCATTGAAAGTCAAATCAATCCGCAACTGAAGAAAACTGTCTAACAAAGTGACAAGGTTCTCTTCTCGTCTCTGTCCTGACTCTGAAATGACTACAGCCTGGGCTCATTAAGTTCTTTCTTTCCTCAAATGCTCGTTCTGGTGCTGTTGAGGCATTTAACAGAGCTAAGGAATCTGATCCTTTAGTGACATAAATGATCCTGAAATGTGCAGATAGTAAATAATATTTCTGTTAATGCACAACCAACATTGTGGAATGATGTGCACTTTTCCCACAGGACTAAAGAATTTCTAAGGTCACCCTGTTGCTCGTTCCTGGTGATACAGGTATGCACTGTGCGCTTTGAAGCGTAAAAAGATCCCAAGTCATGCATCAAACGATAAGATTTGTGACAGAAAAGTGCATGACGCAGTGATTCGACACTTCTGACAGCTAACAGCAGTGTGGTCGCGCTTCGCGTCCATCGTCCTCTGAAACATCAAACAATCCCTGTCTTGTAAAATGATGTTGAGGAGAGAACCGATCTAGACGTTCTGTATTAGGCAGAAACCGCGCTCAGATGGCCATCATCACGCGCAGCATCGCTCATCGCATGGAGAACAGCCATGAATGTCTGTGGTTTTTCGGGGGGCATTAATGTTTTTTTCTGTGTACCTGACTCTAGATTGGTGGTTTTGTATGAGGTTTCAGCTTACCACCACATGACATACGCACTCACTATGAGGGCTTTCAAATCCTTTTGATGTACGCTGAGCCGCGTGGTTGTTCATATGTGTCGAACCATGAGATTACACTGAAAGGAAAAGCAGATCTACTGATCCCTTTAAACTCGCCACAGCTCTTTGCACAGGACGTCAGGTGGAACAGAGATGTATGAGGCCCATTAAAGTCACCAGCTCATAAATTTTTT